ATGTACTGCATTTGGGTCCCTGTCCTATGATATGCGACTGCAATATGAAATGGTTGGTCGACGCACCGGAACATTGGAGGCTTCAGATCAGAGGTGGTGATGACCAGAGAGTCTCTTATCTGCAATGCAGTCAAGAAAACTCGTTGTTTGCAAAGAAAAGCCAAGATTTTGGAGATTGTGTCGAAGATTGCGACGAAAGTCTAATGGAAATGGATTCCCATTCACGAGTGGTTTGTAAACGGAAATATTCAATGAATGCAAATATGATTCACACATAATTATAATTTATTATTTTTCATATATTAAGTTTCATTTGTTTTTCAATTTAAAAGTAAATAATTTTCTTTTAATAAACCGATGTCTTAATCAAAACCGTTTATATAATCTTAACTTTTTGTCAACGTTACGTTAAATTCTTTATGAGATTCAATAACTAATGATTTTAATATAAATATAACAATATCTGATCGTTTATAATAAAAAACATTTATATAAATGATTTCAATGAATATTAAGAATCTTAATTTAAGATATAAATCTGTAAACAACTGTCAAATTATTAGACTCTGATAAATATGTAATTAATTAGTAAAATACGGTAACAGTAATAGCATTCCGTAAGTAATTTTCACGATTTATGAAAATAAAAAGATTTAAATCCCAGTCTCGAGTCCAAGCATTTGCTTACAGACTTCGTAAGTGCTGAAAGAGACGGCAACCATAGGTATAGCTCTGATGTAATTAATACTCATTCCTCTATAAAGGCCGCGAACCACTCCATAGTCCCTGTAAGTGATGGCCAGAGTCTTGAGAAAGCCTTCGGAGTACTTCTTGGTCTCATTGCTGGTCATCGAGAGCTGCATTCGTCTTCGGGCCACATCTAATGGATATATAGTGGTCTGTCCGATGGCACCGGCGATCCCACCGCACAACAGTTTGCTGGGAATGTTGAGCACAGTTTTGCCGTCCTTTTCATAGCCACAAAGGGATGGCATGTATTCGACAGCCAAATGCTTGAGTCTCTCAAACATATAGAAATTACAGCCGCCGTAAGGAATCATTGCCAACACTGTGGGTGTGATTCCGCGGTACAGACCAACCATTTTGCCCTCATTTTGAAACACATGCACAAGTGTTCCCACAATAGTCGTCGGCAACTTCAGGCCCTCCACAGTCTGGGTCACGTGAAAGGCCAGCCGAGCCCTCACTAAATCCAACGGATATGTCATCAACGCTGAGGTGACGCCAGCCATCGAACCGGCGAAGAATTTGAGCGAATGATTCACTTTTCCGGACTCGGATTCCCTGAAGAATATCGAGAGACCTCTCTTGTAGATCTCAAATGAGCTGAACTGTACGGCCGCGTACGGGAAGATCCGCACCATTTGAGCGCCATTTCCTTCAATCAATCAATTCACTGGTTATTCAAATGAGATAATAGTTAAGCAAATCATCACAACCTTTATAAAGGCTCAGAAATCTCTCTTTTTTGACGATAGCCTTAAGTCCGCTGAAGACTCCGTACTCTTTATAGTGAGTGTTATGGACCTGAAGAAGGATTTTGATGCGATCGAGTGGTGCGACCGCTGTCTTGGAAGTCATGCCAGCGATACCTCCGGCCAGAAACGATTTGGCCATAAATACGGGATTCTTCAGATCAGATGAACTCATTTTGGTCCACAAGTCAGTCGACAAGCAATTGAAATGTTTGCTTATTTTTCTTATAATATTAACAAATGTTTGAATTTATTATAAAATAAATTTTATTTTTCATGAAATCAAAACCACACAAAACTATTTAATGAATAGATATGCAGTGAATTGGATAATAAATTCTTAGCGTTAAATCAAAGGTCAGATTAGACTAAATGTTTGAACATTTGGTGTATTATATGCACTGATAATCACTTATATGCTTAAATCAATTGGCAATTTGTTGGCACTTATTATTCATCACAAAACTTCATAAAACCGTAAAAAAGTTTGTAATAAATTGTATACAAGTTTTGTATTAAAAAAAGTTTTCGTATTAAATGACAACAATTAGGGAAAGAGTTCACAAAACGATGTATTTTTGGCAGTATTTGGCAAATAGTAAAGACATGTATAAGAGTTCACATTCGTTCCCAAAACTTGAATTCAACGCTAACTGTGTCTATGAAGTGGTCCTAAAGTCAGAGATTTTGAGGTTAAGTACACGTGAAGACTGGAATCGATAATAGCATTGAAACGAGCAGTGAATGCATGAATGGCTCACAACCTCTCAAACCTGTATTACAGACACTCTTCACTCATACATCAGTCCACGACTTGTACACCAGTATGTGCTGTATGTGCTTATATACTGTATGTGCTTGCTCAGTCAATACAGTGACCATCGGTCACCTAATAGTGCTTAACCATCGGTCCATTGCGAACCAATTCATCAGTTGGTGTCTTACAGTGCGGACACAAATGCATTCATATCTGTCAACCCATTGCTTCTCATTTGCCATCAAATCAAACCAATGGACACATTATACACACCATTCACACCATTCACTACATGAATGCAGTATTCATTAAATATAAGCAATAATACGCTAATTGTAATGATTGGCAGACAAAACCTGTTTAATTAAAACATTTCATAAAACTTATGTCAATAACAAACAAAATATCAAAACATTTCAGTCATAGAGTCAGTCATACAGTCAGTCATACAGTCAGTCAAATGCATGTCTTATTGGCAGTTGTGTTCAGTGGGAGGGGTTTGTCAGTGAATACGTTTGCAGTGCTGTATGAATGAGAGCATTGCTAAAGCATTGAGTGAAAGCCGGGGGTAGTGGCGCACTCCTGTAATTCCAGTGACTGGAAGGCAAAATACGGTGGATGGGCAGTGACTGGGGGTTCTGAGCGCATGTTCTCTATGCCGATCGGGTGTCCGCACTAAGCTTTGCGTCAATATGGGGGTGCGGGGGGAGCCCTGCCCTTCCAGGTTGACTAATGAGGAGCGTATAGGCCCAGGGCGGAGACGCAGCAGGCAAAAGTTCCCGCGTTTAGCAGTAGTGGGTTCGCGCCCGTGAATAGGCACTTGCGATCAGCCCAGTCGTCCGGTCCGGACCCGTACTTTTGCACCCATACTAAGCGTGGTTTTACTTTTTTTCATACCATTCCCCTCCCGACAGACCACTCTAGCCGTCCAACACTCGCATCACTGCATATCTGCTGCCAAACCACACTTTATCTGACTTTGAAAAGCACTCATACCATGCATTCAAATACATTAGCGTTTGTGCCATACGTTCAATACATTTGTAGTTTATTATACACTATAATACTTTGTATACTGAAGTGACTACAGTATAAATTGATTCCTCTGTATACAGTATTAATATTTTATAAGTTATTCACTCACTTTTACATTGAAATTCATTCATTTAATTATACGATTGCATTGAATTACATAGGGATTGACCTTACTTGTTAGTGTGTATTATAATAATTATTACCCTACTAATAATGAAATTTAAAATTAATTTTTATATTAAATGCTTAATTATCTATATAATTGTAACAATATTCTTGTACATATTTCAGATGAAATTCTGTATTACAATGTATTGAAATGTAATGTTAACCAAATACAGTATACCTGGGTTAGTTTNTCAATTATGGATTTACTGGTTTTTGTATTGTGTGAGTATGTGGTCTATGGTTTGCAATGCCTGTCCTGACCAAGATGTCGTGTATCCGTGCAAATGTATGCGAATGGATATAACAGTGATTATGTGTGACGGGAACCAAAAAATAGATTTGTCGTCAGTATTCAAAAGATTGTCAAACAGTTTAGCTTCACATATGCGAGACTTCGGCATCTTCTACCTGAGCAATACTGCCATCAAAACACTTCCAGCGTTTGTCTTCCACAACATAACTTTCCGTCACCTATACTTCTCAGGCGCCATTCAATTGCAATATATAGATCCCAATGCTTTTATTGGCACTGATTTGCACATTGAATACGTGAACGCATGGAATACTAATTTGGATTATTATAGGGTTCCCAATGAAAACGATGCCTTCAGTCGTCTCATTAACTTGAAATACTTGGACATTACGAACGACATGTACTGTCCGGACCCCCAATTAATAGACCCCTGTTATTGCAAACTCGATAAACGCTCGGTTGGATCACATTTCTTAGCCATGAGAGACTCCTACTCTATTCATTGCGATAAGAATAAGCCCTATTATGTTAAGTAAGCTATTTATTGCAGAATCTTATTAATTTCATTATGAATTATATCAACTACATCAAGAATTATATCATATCAATACTATTTGTTTAATTATTTCAGACAAATATTTCAGAGAATTACTTCCAACGCTCCGACGTGTGGCCATCACTTTGATAACTTGTATTTAGACAACCATTTGTGGACCAATTATACAAATATACCTGAAGATGCCTTTTCTGGAGTCACTTTCTCTAATATATATCTCCAGGCGTGCAATGAATGCAATAAATATAAACTAACGATACATCCAAAAGCGTTTGGAAAGACTCGTCTATTTGTTCAGTCATTGGTTTTCTCGACAAATATAGCCTCGAAATCCACTGAATTTCGGGACACTTTTGTTGCGGTCAACAGTTTAGTGAATGTCCGACACATTGCTATTAATGCGGGCTTTGATTCACTGACAGCTCACACATTCAGACCGGTTGTATCGTCGGGTGCGGGTCAGACCAAATTGAAAGCCATCACAATTAGAGGCCTATCATTGCGACACATCGATAGCTATGCTTTCTATTATCTGTCAAATTTGGATTATATAGACTTATCCAACAATAAGATAGAAAGCATTGAAAAGCACGCCTTTGCCTTCAGACAGAGATCTATGAAGACACTGATGATTGACATGAGAGGTAATAACCTGAAGAGTGGATCACTGGAAAGGGGAGCACTCAGTCATATGCTAAGACCCGTTGAATTGATGCTATTCTCAAATAAGAGCCATTGCTCTCAAAAGTTTCAATATCTCGATGAAGACATATTCGCGACTTTCTTTGTCAGTGATAAGCGAAATGTACTGCATTTGGGTCCCTGTCCTATGATATGCGACTGCAATATGAAATGGTTGGTCGACGCACCGGAACATTGGAGGCTTCAGATCAGAGGTGGTGATGACCAGAGAGTCTCTTATCTGCAATG